CGATGCCGTGTGAGTTAAATATTCTTTATTTTTTTTATTTATCAAATGTAAGTTTAAATGATAACTATTTTTTAATTTTATTTCTTTTTCTGATTTATTTATAACTGACGTTAATATTTTTTCGTTTTTTACAGATACGAGGGCTGCTGGGAATAGGAGGCCGTCTTTGCTTTTTTGATTTTTTAGTAAATATTGTCCTTCTTTATAATTGCATAATAAATTGACCATTTGTTCTGATTTCGGTTTTATTATACTGTATGATTTAATGTCATCCTTAATGGGAATTTCAGTATTTTCCGTGTGTAGTTTCATGTTCTTAATGTCTATTTTGCAATCCAAAGGTACTAGTATATCTAATCCTAAGAGTCCTTTAAAATCTGGGTCAAAATCGAATATTAGAAATTTGTGAGTTATATTTTTTTTTAAATAAATTATATGGAAGTTTTATAAATGCGACTTTATTGTGTTTCGTTATGGCATGAACCGTTTTTATATAATGAACTTCCTTTTTTTAAATTTAGTTTTATTGTTTTTTCCTTTATATATATTATGGTGAATTAATGATTGAGAAGCACCTGTATCTAATAAAAATCTGCCTCCTAGTTCTTTTATATAAATGTAGGGAAGGCGACTGTAATTTTGAACGTTGTTCATATAAACTAAGTTATTAAGCTTCTTATTTATTTTCGTCATCTTTATCATCCTCATTTTCTTCATCGGAGTTATCTGAGTTAATTTTCTCGTCTTTCGTTTGGGACTGGAAGTGGAATCTTTTACTTGTATTATCAACAGAAGGTTTTTTATTAAATTGTTCCTTCCTGTTTTGTGTTACAGATTTATTTTGATTATTTTTAAAATTACTAGATGAGGCTTTTTGCATTGAAGTCTTATTATTTTATGACCTCCTTTGTTTGAGTTTAGCCTCTTCTTGTTTAGCAATTGTTTCTGCTTGTTCTAAATTTTCTACCTGTTGTAGTTTTATAAAGATAGCCGTAATTGGGTTTATTTTGTCTAGGAAAACGCTTAATGCCATTTGTTGGTAGTAAGTGCGTTTGTTCGGGTCAGCTAGAATTAATGTGCTTTCTAGGGCTCTTATTTTATCTGCGAAGTTATTTATGTTTCCTTCTCTATTTAGTTGTATTAACTCCTGTACTAATTGGATTTCATTCCGGAATTCACCAAATCTCCTGATTAGAGTAGTTTTAATTTCGGACCAGGTTTTGGTACCTGTTCCTTCAAATAGGGCTTCTACTGCCTTACCTGATAATTTATTTGTTATTAAGCAAGCTATGCTGGGATCGTCCCCATTAGTTATAAGGCTAAGCGCATTTTCAACACCTTCTATGTAAAATGCTAATGAACGTTTATTACCTTCGAATGATGGTAATAGAATTGACAGTGTGCTATAGTCGATTTGAATCGGCTTTTCTTCAATTGTGCTCGTATCTACTTTCTTTTCGCTAGCCATTTTAATCTATTGATCCAAATGTAGAATACTAAGACACTAAATAACACAGTTAGTTATGGCAGAAGGAATCTTGGGAAAAACAGAGTTTTATGCTTACCCCACGATCATTGCTGCTGTACTGGTATTGTGAGTCTGCTCTTCAGTTTGCTGATTTTGCTGCTGCCTCTGCCCAATATAGGTTCACACCCGCGTCTCGATTATAAAACCAAAGATTTTATTCAGTTTTTGATCGTATATAGAACGCGGTTTGCCGTCTGCGCCAGTTAGGAGATGGGCGAGGGCAATAAGCTTTTTAAAAAGCAACTGTTTTTTTATTGACGAGTTACTTGCTTGAAGAGCTGAACAAGACTGATTCTTTATTGGATGTTTAACATACAGGCAACTTATCTTATTACATACTTATAATCTAATTAACTTATAACATGAGTACGGAAGGTAATAAAGGAAGACGTTATGACCGTCTTTATGAATGGAGTAATTGTCTTGGTTTCCTGGTACGTGTTATCGATGTTGATGTTGTAGGTGTTTATGCCTACATAACTAACGTAGGTAGTAATATAAAATATATACCAATGATGAATTTTATTAGTGATCATGAAATATTACGGTGTTCCTTGTTAAATTTAAGTAAATTAATTAAGCAAAAGCTGTATACTTAGTAATGTAAAATAAGTAACTACAATAATTCAAACGCTCATTTAATAATTGGTTAAATGAACAACTTATCCAGTATGGAATTATATTTTAGCACTACACTTCTAAGTGTTTCTGATATTTATTTAAAACTTTTTTTATATAGTTATTTAAAATAAAAATATGTCGTCAGTCGAAGAAATACTCGTAGTAAAATCGAACAGACTTTATATTTTGAAAAGTGGTATACAGCTGTTTTCAAAGCAGATTTATTTGTGAGTGTGGCTTGCAACAGGTACGAGCGGCTGGCCGCCGCCGGCCGCCGCGCGGTCTACCGATTATTGTTTTTATGCTCCCCGCGTCCAAATCCACGTCCACGTCGCCGTCGCCCATGCTGACTCAGATGTAATATATACATATATATTATAGATATATACATATATATTACATCTCATTCAGGTAAAATAGTGAGTGGCTCCAAAGTAAGAAAATGGCCTGGATTCAATACAGAAAAATCATTTGGAACTGAACTAATGGGCGAAAAAGGTCTCGAATTCAACATGGCTTTAATTTGCGTCAATACGGTATAAATCTCCTCGAAAGTAAGGCGTTGAACCCCGATTATAAGACTGTTGTATATTTTGTATTGAGGGTAACCAAACAAATAGAACAAGAAGTCAGTCTGTCACCAACGATTAAAGATGCAGAACGTGCAGTCTTTACTGCCAATTTATGAAACATATTTGAACCTCCGATGAAATTTCTCTCTCGATCAGAAATCAATCTAGAACAACGACCTCGTGAAATATAACGCCGTAAAGTAAAAATAAAATAAATAGAGGCGTCGGTTGATAATTCAAATACAAGTTCCGAATGAACTGCCTTAGTTACGGTACACACAAAAACACAAATGTACGCCTTAAATGTATGTACTCCCCTACCTCGCCCTAAGCAAGGGCCAAAGCCCACCATATTCAACAGCAGAACACGAAAATGGATTAATTTGATTTATACGAAACGCTGATGAGTTGCCTATATAATAGGTGGCGAAGCAACCTTAGGACGAGCACGAAAACAATTCATACACGACGAAACTACTTTTTGAATAACCCTTTTTGACGATAAAATTTCTATTCATCATAAGCCAAATCATTGAATGATATTGATGGTTCTGGCTAGTGATGGGCGTTGAATCAACGGACTAGTTAAATCAACCGTTAACGTAGAATCAACGCGTTGACGGTTGACAGTTCTTTGGTTAACTAGTTAAAAAGTCGACGCCTATACGAAGAACCCACTGTTCGTCCATCAACGTGTCATGAAACTGCAACGCATAACTTTATCATCTGTTTAATACAATGGTATTCGGTTGTTTTTCATTCATAAAGATTCGATGTAACTTTGATAGCTGAAATAATTTAAACTCTAAAGTCAACGACATTAAGTAAATATTTCAACACGTGAATATGTGATAGTTGTTTACGTTAGTTTTCAATAGATGGTGTTATACAGTTCTTGTTTTTATCTACATGGCGGTGTTAAGAATTTTACTAATTAGTATAGTTGAACTATTATTATAATACAAACTTTTCATGATTAGTATACACTCGTCTGATTGCGTGTTTTATTAGGGTTCCCTTGGAAAATTTTGTCTGAATGACCCTTCTCTGAAAGCACTTTTATAGATAGATTTTTTTTATTTTATATAATTTAATTCACACTGTTATATGAATAATTTTGAACATTCCGATGAATAATTTTATTTTGAACTAAAACAAACAAAACCTAAAGTTCAGTACATTATTAATATTGTTAAAATAGTAAAACATATCACTATAAACGAAAAATAATATTTTTATTGATAAATATAATATAACATTTATTAAAGGTTTAATAGCTAGAATATTAATAATAATAAACATGAAAGCGTAAATTTCTTCTATTATACCTACACCTAGGTAACTACGAAATTACACAAAATAAACATAATATTATTTTATTTCCATAATCGCGAAGTAGGTAAATCTATCACAGTTACAGTTAATTAATAACAACAAATAATAATTTAAACTTCGGCCAACTTCGAAAATCTATATAGTCCATCCAATAAGGTTAATATTTGTACGTCGGTTGTAGTTCATAAATAAACGCACACTCCCATACGTCGACGTCTATCCTGTCGACGTAGTTGCATACGTTAACTATAGTTGATAATTCAACTAGTTGAATTTTCAATGATCAGATGAAGAGCGTTACGTTCGTTGATCAACGTACACCTAGTCTACAACGCTTTAGTTTTGTCGTATAATACAATAATACAACCAGTTAAAAAGTAGACGGCTAAACGAAGAACGCACCGTTCATCTATAAACATGTTACGAAACTGCAACGCATAACTTTATCTGTATAATACAATGGAATTCGGTTGTTTCCATTATTACTTAATTGGTCATAATTTGGAATTAAAACGTTAGATATTTTCAACCATGCTATGTCTTTTTTTTCCCTATCGTGATAGTCTTCAATAGAAGTGTCCCATAAGCAAGGATGGCTTTCGATGCACAAAATCAAATTTTCCGTCTCAGACATCACGCATCAAAACTCGTCGTGACATGTCCAGCCGCAATCACTAGCAGTGTGAACTGAAATATACCAAAGTGCTTGCTCAAGAAATACCATAAGTGACAGTTAACAAACAAAAGTCTTTTAAAGGCTCATCAGGAGAAGATCTCCTCAGAATATGACACACAATCCGCTGATTATCACAATCCGATTTATCAATAAGAAACTGACGATACATTTGTTTAATCTCTCCCATGAATACAACTACATGGCAACAATAAATCATTCAATGAGGATCCTGCAGCATTTTCAGCACTTGCATCAAAAACAATCCGCAAGGGAGTCACTATTATTGTCTTGCTCTAACTTTATAACCAATCACTATTATTGTCAAATTGGAAATTTAGTAACTCTTCTATAACTTTTACTGAATCAGAAATATTATAATAATATTCTCCAACAATAATCCACGGTGCAACATATATTAATTTATTCATTGATATTTTTCTTGATTTTAAAAATATTTCTCTATATGATAAGTCAACGACATTTTGATTTATATTATGGAAACATGTTGTTAATATTGCCTTATTCTTAGGCATATATTTAAATGGTCCTTGTGTCCAATGTCCTGTGTATAGTATTTTTTTGTTGGTGTAATTATGAATGATTCTAGAAATTTTTCCAACCTGTTTGTACTTTTTTCTCTACTTTGACATCCTTTAAATTCATTTTTTGTTTTGTCAGTTCGTATCTTAGTTTCATCGCTAGTTTGTATGCACGCGAATCCTCTCCAGAGGACACTCCTAGACACGAATAAGTTCGCTTCGTCCAATATTGATTTTTGTTGAGTTTTACACACTCTTTGAAGGGGTAGAGCTCTAACTTTATAACCATCGATCCACGCTCTCCCGGCGACGATGTATTGATATATCCTTCGTCTTCCTTTATTAAGATAGACTGACAAATTTTTCCAGTACTCGTGACTAATGAGTGAGCTCGAGCATGATTGGCGACCATAGTGGAAAAGTCTTCGTCGTTCGGAGTGCCGTCCATACTCTCTTGTAAACTCCTCCTTTTCTTCTTGGATGATGGAACTCTTAATTCCACTTCCGGTTCGCTTTCTTCCTCCACTGTCTTTTGTGATTTCCGAAATAAATCTCCCATTGTATATTCCATCTCCTCCTCTTCGGACAGATCTACCATTTTCCGCTTCGAAAAGTGAGACTTCTCCTTCTGAAACGTCACTGTTTTGGCTATTGGCCCATCTTTCGATTTCTTCTGCGGTGTCTACATCTGTAATGAAGTACCTAATCCTTTGGATGTGCAGGCATCGGCACGTTGATCCGGAGTATGCACAATCGTGAATGACATGCAAATGTTTCTCATGTTCTGCGATGATGAAGAGTCCCGGTATTGAATATTCTCCTCCTCGACATCGTCCATCTGTTCTTGACGTTCTTCGAGCTCCATTAATGCTGAGCTGTAATGGTCGAATAATTGCGTCTCTAAATCGTTCTCCCAACGCATCGATTGGAGCCTCCCATACGTCGTGGATAATCCTTCGTTTAAACACCACTCCCCGAAAGTATTGTAAGAACAATTGGTCAAGTCCTTTCCTTGACTCTTCATGTATAGAAAAAAATCCTTCATCACTTTCTGTAGAGTTTGCCCCACATTGAATAGATTCATATTCTTTGTTTTCAACGTAGCGTCGTTTATTTTCTTTAATAATGGTTTCATTACTTTCAATGTACTTTCGTTTTGCCAAAAATTATGTAACCATTTCATTAAATGATTGTTCTGAATAGTCTTCTTCTGAGTCGTCTGAAGAGTTTTCCCTTTCGTAATCTTCTTTTTCTTGGCGGCAGGTTCTACTTCCAGAACATATAGAGTATTTTGGTCCGCTAAATTCTCCGTTGTTTCCTCCTGACCTTCGTTCTAGGCCACAATCCTCACACAATCGTCCTCTTCGTTGTACAAATTCTGTGATTCTACTCTGGTTTCCATTTTTAAACTTAGGATGATGAATGGGTTCTGTTTAAGCGCCACCCAAAAATGTATCTATTTTACTACCAATAAAATTCTAAACGGTTACCAAAATGGATAAATGGTCACCAAATTACTTTCCCTAAAATATTATGAAACAAAACCATTTTTTCGTATTAACGGATTTCTCCTTTATTTTGGTTTGAGAAGAAAAAAAAAAAGAAATATAAACTGTGTACAATTTATTTATAAATGAAGTTTTTTGAAATAACAATTTTAAAATTCAGTTACAATTTTTATACAAGTTACCAATTAACCTATTACAAATTACCAATTACAAATTACAAATTACCAGTTACCCCCTTAAAGTAAAAAAAATAAAAGGGTATATTTTGACCTTGGCTTCGCTGCCGTACTCAGAAGGAGTACGGCAACACAACAAACCGGGGGCTGTCTGTTGTCCTACGGTCTCACTGTCCAGCGTTATAATTCGTAGACATAAAATAATATTTATAACACTTAATGCTACTAAACACAATAATATTTGGGCACAGCTCAATGTTCAGCTTGTCTTTTGTTTAAATAAATTTAATAAAATTTCATCCACCTCAACAGCGAAACAATCAGGTCTTCCTTTTTATTCAGCTCAGTAATGTAGGTGGGTCAAACCACAGATACCCATCCACATGGAGCGATATAGCATTTACATACGGTTACTGGTGGTACCGTCAACCTGTATCGGACAACTCGCACCAGGCAGGCAGTACAATACAGTCAGGACAATACAGCCAGTACCAGACAACCAGTACAATACAGCCAGTACCAGACAGCCTCTCGGTTTGAGAGACTTCTCTTCACTCTTAGATGATCAGCAGAATAAAAGGAAAGACAAAGCCGGGTTCCGACTTAAATACGATTTCCATTTCCATTCGACTCAAGCGACCTGAACAGCTGTTAAATGAAGCAACTCCGTTTCACGGACAACACACAATGACTACAAATTTTGACCTTTAAAAATTTAATAGGAAAAATACATAAATAAAATATTTATGTTTTATTGAATTGAAAATAAAATTATAGGACACATGCAAATATGCATGAAAAAACTGACAAAACCCTGCATACAAAGGAATATAACTAGGTGACAACTTCACACTATTGCTTTATTTTCTTAATTCAACGTTCTAAAACCTGAAGTCTGATTTAATAATTTTGTTATAACAAAGTTTTCTAAATAGCCGTTTATTGTATTCTTAATGAATTTATTGTATTCTATTAAAGGAGACCATATACTACTTATTTGTTATTAAAAATTGGGAAAAGAAATTTAATTTGGAAGAAAATATAAATATGTAAAGGTAAGTTCTAAGGTTAATTACGGCTTTCGGAACGTACACCAAGTGTCAAAATAAATGCTTTGGTGTTTTGTAAACAATAGGTTCAATTTTATTTTGTAAAATTAATAAGGTTATCTCTAATGGAAGCAAATGAGAAAATAGTTAAAGTTATAATTTTAAGACAAACTAATGGTTCTATTTTGTATCTTGGTGGTTGATAGATTGGTAAATACGAGTGGAAGGTTGTCACCGGTTAAGGAATAATGAAATGAAATTAATAAAAACAATTTTGATGCCCTAATGGCTTTATCAGAAAAAAAATGGTAAGTTGACATCCTTAAAACAATGTTTAGAAATCACAATATATTTGAACATTACTAGATAATACTAATAGAATGTTGTGAAAGTTAAAATAAAACAACTATTGACTACTATAAAAATATATGGGCGATTTTAAAATACTCTTTAGATTAAATTTTACATATTGTCACTAAATTGATGTTACCAATATTTTATACCATGAATTCTAATTTGGTAATTTTCGCTTGGCTAAAAAAGCTAACGATCGCTAGAATATTTCATAAATTCCAATTATTATACTGAGGTTCCCAAACATATTATGTCACTTATTTATTGTTATATGTAATTAACTAAATATACTCGGGTTTCCAAACATACGTCACTTGTTTAATGTTGTATAAAATTAATTAAATGTATTATGTTAAAAAAACAACAAAGTCAAATCCAATAGGTTTATAACAGTCGTAGGCACATAAAGGTATAACATTAATTTGTTATTAAGATCTAGAATAAGAAAAAAATAGAAATCATTGAATTGACAAAGCTTTTTTGGATTTAGCTGGCCGCCCTCTCTTTCTCTTTTCGCCAATAGGGATATTTCTGGCTTCATAAGGTGGCCCCACGTACTTCAGCCTTATTGCTAAACCCAGTAAATGTTTACAGATATACTGTTTTAAGAATGCAGGACAGTTACACCTACCGGTTAGCCATTCTTCGCTGTTGATGGGTAACATTACTTCCCATTTACTCAAAAACTGTTCCTTAAAATCGTCGAAGCTTTCCCAGTGATCATTGAAAGTTTTACATTCCATGTTATCACCGGCTGGATTGCGGTAGTATGTCGCTGAGTCTGTCTGTTAAATAAATGATTACGTTGTAAAAGTGTTTATTTGATTTTAAATACGCAGTACCCATTTCTTTTTTACTAATTAAAAACTTCCACAAAAAGTGCTCATTCCGCGAAGTGCTCATTCTGCGAAGTGCTCATTTTGCGAAATGCTTATTCTGCGAAATGCTCATTCTGCGAAGTGCCCATTTTGAGAAGTGCACCAAATGCGAAAAGCGCATTTTTTGTCAAGTGCTCATTTTGCGAAGTGAAACAACTTCGAATGAAACCACAAAAACACAATGACAATCTCCAGGAATCGGTGATTGAGATGCAAGCCACGCTTTCAGTTCTCCCAAGCTAATAGTAGACGGCCCGTACTTTTGTAGACGAATTTGAGCTAGGTAATTTTTCAGTTGTGTGTTAGACGGTAGCTGTATACCTTTTTTTTCGCTAAGGCACTCATTATTGCCTTTGGTTTCAGTTTCAGTTCAAATAGTTTATCTATTTCACTACAGGTTTCCGCTGATATACCACGTACCTGGAGTGATCCTAACAATATCACTTCATCTGACGTAGAATCAAACAACAAGTAAATTGCCGCCAAACACTGCAATCCGCGTCGTTTTACTTTATTGCAACGATAATATCTCTTTACTCCTTCTTCAGTATTGTGTACTTTTTGAACAGACCACCCTCCTTCGTCCTTAATGAAAACTTCGGCATCACGAATATTTGAGTACTTTTGCACTATAACCTAAGATCTTCCTTGTCTGCGTCTTCGTTTCGGTTATAACTGATTATTTCCTTGATCTGAATTAGATTCAGAATTATTAAGTAGAGGAGCTTCAACAGTACTTGGCCCCACCAAAGCTTCTTCGGACATCGTAAGAAAAGCGCGCGCGCTACGAGCATAGACAGTACCTACACAAATAGCCTTTATGACGCAACGGCGACGACTGAGCGAGGAGCGCGGGGATGCACCCGCGGCCTGTGCCTCACGTGCCGTTGGCGGTTGTGCGGGGTGCGGGGTTCAGATATAAAAGGAATCAATTGTAATTTTAGTCTTACATTAAAATAGACTGGGTTCAAATCATGCATTTTGGATGACGGGAAACTAATTTGGAGTAAGATTTTTGGTAGTAAAATTAATCTTTGAGTAAGACATTATTTGGTGACCATTTATCCATTTAAGTAATCAAAAAGAATATTTGTACAAGACGTGCGATTTATCTGATGATTTTTCATTTACTCTGGATCATAAAATGTTATACTTTAGGGCCCTTTTAATATAACCGATTATTTTTTTTTAATGTTGTTGAGTTTATTTGGTGCCCAGGCTTAGAGCCAAAAAAATATTTTTGGTGACCGTCTAAACTATACCCATGATGAAATACTAAAAATTCACTTAACGAATCAATATTGATTTTTGATGTGACTCGCTTAGAAGTCCGAACACTACTGTGCGAACAAGGCCTGGTAAACGTCTTTTTATAACTAGCCGGATTTTCAATCCGTCTATACCTCTGAAAGAAATCAATTAATGGCAATCGAACTATCGTAGCTGCGAAGCAGCTACATGATAATGTTCGTGATTATGCCATTAATTGAATTGTTTATCAGTTGTGGTGGCGGTGACGAGGTATAGACGGATTGAAAATCCGGCTAGTTATCAAAGATAGTTTACCAGGCACAGTTCGAGCGATCGTGACGTCATAGTTAGTATAAAAGGGGCAAATATTGAGTATACATAATAAATGCCACCTGTACGCGGGTTGCATTCGGGTCAAAAACGATACAGTGAATTACAAAAAGCTTATAGTAAAGCTTGGCGATCATTAAGTGCAGCTGAAAGAAATCAATATTCAAGTTATAATCAATGGAGAGTTAGTAATGCTGGAAAAGCTGTCAAGAGACAATTTGATGAAGCTTTCCATAGAACCTATACCACCAATACCAGATCAAGGGACGACTGTGAGCCCTCTACCTCCCGTGCCAGAGTTACCAACGCCGACGACGATACTTTCAATTTGGACGATTTATTTGATAACGTTAATTGGAATAATTTCGAATCTAGGGAGGTAGTGCGCCGGAGCCTATGGATACTGAACAATTGGGATCAAATATCGGAGGATCAGGAAGAGGTGCTGTTAATACGTCGGGATCGGGTATAGCAAGAATTATACCAAATCCAAAATTAAAAACATTACATATATCATTTTCAAAAAAATGGTTTAAATATACTTATGGATATGCACATACTAATTTGGATGGAACGCATATTATGAGAGTATTAACACCGTATGCTTATTATCCTGTAGATTGGGTACCGTGGTATTTGACACCACAAGAATTTATGTCGTTAACATTCAATGCAAAAATTGTTAATGTAAAAACAGATATTCATTTATTAGGCACCAGATTAGAGTAGTGATAGAGACAGGCCTTAAAATTACGTGATGTGGAATAAAAAAAAAAACCATTTATGATAGCGGTGGTTCTACCTCTTCCATATGACCACACATTAAATATTAAAACTGTATTTTCTTTCTAAATTTAGGAAACGATTTAAAGCAATATTACGTGAAAGTGATTTATTTGATAAGGTTAATTGGAATAATTTCGAATCTGGTGATAAGGCAGATATACAAAATAATTTGCCTGAAGTTCCTACTGGCTCGTCGGATACCTATGGATACCGAACAATTGGGATCAAATATCGGAGGATCAGGAAGAGGTGCTGTTACTACGTCGGGATCGGGTATAGCAAGAATAGGCATAATGACAAATTTTTAAAAACTGTTTTTTCAGGTTCAGAAATAAATATTATATACAATGTATATCAAATTTCTGCTGAAAATAAGGAATCAATATGAAATAAAATACATTTTACTTTAAATTTTTTTCATTTCCGCCAAAACGCTTCAATCTGTCATGGCGTCGCTTGTGACGTCACGTTCGACGTAAACATTGACAGCTAGTACGGCTACAGTATTAATTTTGCATTGTTTGTGTTTTAAAAGTTCTAAAATATGAGTTCGAGACCATATAGGTGTTGTGCAGTGCCTCTGTGTACTATTACAACTATTTATATTCGTGCCCTATGATAAAACAATACGAAATAAGTGGCTTAAACTTGCAAGACGTGATATAAAAGGAATATTGCCTAATACTCAGCTTTATTTCTGTGAAGATCACTTTGACGTAAGTATTTACTTATATTTGTAGATTCCACATAGTTTCCAAACCATTATAAATATAACGCTGTTCAATATTTAAACTTTGAGGTTTGGTATGTTTTTTTCTATGTTTTATCACGGAATACTTAATATTTATTTAAATTTCAGTTACCGAATGATTTGGAAAACTATATGCAGTATCACTTGATGGGATCAGTGTCACAGATACGCTTAAAAGCAGGCTGCATTCCTTCAAAATTTGCTTGTCAGCTGATACAATAGAACGGCAATATATTGTCAAAAAACAAAGGAAGGAGTTGATTGAAGAATTGCAGAAAGAAATAGAAAACAGGACAGATAGAGAGTCTTCATCGGAAAGTTCAGGTGTCAACTTAATTTTAATAATTTTGTTTGAATCACACATTGACTCGGTGTTCATTATTATTATACAGAGAAATGGCATATTATACCCATGTCATGTCTTAACTCTTACCCCCATATTCTTAGTTGTTTCCTCAAGACAGTCATTCAGTCATTCATAAAAAATACAAATATTAAAGACCGAGAATGAGTCAAGTAGAAAATTTCTTCAGGAATCGACTTAGATTATGGAGGTTAATTAATTTCTATATCTTATTTACTATATCTTATTGGTTCTTCATGAATGTCAAATCCATGCACATACAAAAAGGCTTTTCACACATATACCTGATCAAAAAAAATGTCAGTGAATTGTTGTTATTCTGTAAGTTTTGTAAATTATTTCTTATTTTCAGTTTTGCAAGAAAATGCTTCACAACATGAAGTCTCTTATCTGTGCGTTTTTCCGGCTGCATCCACAGCAGCCCCGATCTGGACCCCAGGATCCAATGCAATGACTACACAAGATGCACCTATGACGGCAAATAAATGCATTCAAGTACACATGACAAAGAAATTCAGAAGTAAATATTTATTTAGTAAATCAAATTACATCACCATTGAAACCTTTTAGCCATTCTGTTTCTACATCACCATTTAAAATAATGAGTTGCAATACTACCAAGCCATCACCATCCACCTCATCTACTGTACAGAATCCTTATAGGAAATTATTTGTTACTCAGGAAGAATCTGACAGTGATATTTCAAATACACTATCAGTGACGCATATACAGTCGTCACCATCAATAACATCCCTCCAAATAAAATCCAGTTCGGACAGCAGCGACTTAATAAAAGAAGATAAAAAACAAGAGGCATCGAAGACATTGGAATATACATTGCTGAAAATAGTGAAATATCCACGCTTTTACATTGGAGTTCCTAAAAACTGTTATTTCCTAATAGAATTAATTGAAGAAAAAACAAATATTTCTGCAGACCATATACTAATGTGTTTGAAGAAAATTAGATTAAATAATGCTTTTAGAGAGCTTGCTGATGATTTTGGCATAAATACAATTTACGCTAGCAAGATATTTCAAAAAAATATACCGCGTATAGCTAGTGTCATGCGACCTTTTATTGTGAACTTGGATAAAGATTCCATAAGAAAAAATTTGCCTATGGCCTTTAGGCGTAAGTATCACAAAGTAAGTTGCATAATAGACTGCCTAGAAATTGAGGTGCAAAAGCCCTCAAATGCTTTGAATCAATCACTCTCGTGGTCAGAGTACAAAAAAGGGAACACCATCAACTACTTTGTATCATGTACACCAAATGGTTTGGTTAATTATATATCACCAGGTATTGGAGGGAGAATTACAGATACAACTTTGGTAGAAACATGTTATTTTGTTCAAAGTTTGAAACCAGGTATGACTGTCATGGCTGACAGAGGTTTCAAACATGTGGAACAATATTTAAAGAAACATGGAGTGCATCTCGTACGACCTCCAAGTGTTCAAACTGGGGTAAAACTATCAAAACAGGAGGCGAGAGAAACTAAACAAATCGCTAGTTTAAGAATACATGTGGAAAGATTGCTTAGACGATTACGGGAATTTAGTTTGTTAAAGCCACATGCTTGTATAAACCTCAATCTTGTGAAAGTACTTGATGATATCATCACTATTGCCTGCGGATTAGTTAACTTACAAGATTCATTGATTAAATAAATCTTAATTATGTACTTTTTATAGGGATATCTTTAAGACTGTTAAATATAATTCAAATTTATAATATTGTTTTTTATTATTAATCCAAAAATTACAAAATACTTTGATGTAGTATTGGATAAATATTATCTTTCCATATAGGAACTATAACATTAATAAAATCTGATACATATTCAATATTTGTACTTTCTTATTAGTACTGTAGTTGCAATCAGCTACACAAAAATAACCTTTTTTTAAGCATTTGTAATTGCATCTGCACATAAAACTTCTGGCTTGGTTTCCCATCACATATATAATTTTTAAAGGTTTTTTCACTCATAGGGCACTTTATTTCTATAATGCTGTTTTCACAAATCCCATCTGGTGAACCTGCTAGCATAGGGTAGTTTTTGGTTATCATTAAACCACATTTTTTATTTTTTTTTCCCTAATTTGGTACTGACTGTATTTCTAACATCATCCTCCAATATTCTACCTCGCTTCATGGCCGTTGTGTCTGGAATTTTTCCACTCAATGTTACATCAATCAGAGCACCGTCACTGGTTTTGCACCGACTGAATTCGTACGGCCGTGAAGCTGTTATTCTTCCATATCTTAATTCATGCCATAAGCTGCTTTTATGTTGGTCTCTCG